CGGAGGCACGTGTGGACTGAAATGCTAGACACCATCGTGCACACTGGGTGACCTCGTGGACATCAGATAGACTGAGCAAGGGACAGGAAGGGAAGCACATGTGGGGCAGGGGTGGGCCGGGATGGATTCCCAGGAGGCCTGCGGGTCTCTTGGAAGTGACCGAAGTGTCTGGGACTACGCAGGAGCAGGGTCTCATGGCATGCACACACTAAATGCCTGCCTTAAATGTCCGCCTCGGAGCGGACACTGCCCCTGAGTGCTGTACAGATAGTATGTCCGAGGTAGACAAGTGCAGGGAGAGGAGGCCTGCTGCTTGTCCCTGCTGGGAAGCCACCAGCCTCCCCGCGTGCTTGAGCGAGGCTCCAGGCCCCGGACACCTGTCTGTGTGCACGCAGGTGTGCACCTTCACGTGCCCTGGACATTGAGAACACCTGTGAGAGGCACCTCGGAGCACGCCCTCTTCTAAATTAGCAATAGTTTTTCAAAGTTTCAAGAAGCAAATGTGCTGTCTTTCTGGTTTTCTTTCTTTCTTTTATTATCCTTCCTTCAGTGTCAAGTTGTCTCTTAAAAAATTAAAATAAAATCAGCAATCACCAGTGTGTGCCTCTAGCCACAGAGGGCGGTCTTTTCAGACACACGGCATCAGTCTTTAGTCCTACCTGTGTGATAGACAGGGCAGTGCCGCAAGAGACAGTGACCAGCTCGCTGCCCACTCAGGGTGCCCCGGTGCCCACTGCATGGGCATTTCCAGGAATTTGCTTCCTGCTCTTCAAAGAGCAGGCTCTCCAGCAGCACCCTAAGGCCGACTTTCACTAAGTTGAACGAAACGCTCACTGGAGACCTGAAGCTGAGCCAGAGGCCGGATGCTGCGTTCAGACATACAGCGAAGACTCTGCTTGTGTTCATGATGCTAACTCGGCAACTGCGGTTGGCATGCAGGACATGCCCTGGATGCTGCGGAGCAGAATCCGGCTGTCACCGTCTGCAAGGCCGGCGATTGCACAGAGCTGCTCCACTGCAGGGAGGAAGGCACTAAAAACTTACTGAGACCCATGAAGTGTGGTTTTTAAAGCAAGAAAGCAGTACGTCAGCAGAACCTGAGACATTCCCCAGCAGGCCGAGCTCGTGTGTAGCATGCTGTGACACATGGTCCCGGGGACCGCTGTGCTGGGTATAAAATCACTGCCCATCAGGGAGCATCGTGTCCCCTTGGTGTGAAAGGGATGGATAAGAATTACTTCCAGAGCAATAGCTTCTTGCAACAGTTTAGCTGTTTCCCAGGTAAACAGTTTACTCCTGAAGTTACTGCTTTTGGAGATGAGGCTAAGACAAAAACTATTTTTCAGATTCGATTTTTAACTACATCACCTTATACTGAATTAGAAATACAGGTGCAAATACCCAATGACATATTTTTAATTATGTAAAACCATGTCCCTTGCATCTTCATACAAAAAAAAAAACCCATACCAAAGTCTTAGACCTTATAAAAATAAACATAAAATAGATTACATTTTAAAAATATATATAAAATGTAAAACTTCAAAAAACAACAATGTATCTTCAAGGTCAAGGTCTGGGTAGAGCCCTGAGACCTGATATCAAATCCATGATCCACAAAAGAGTGCTGGTAGATTTAAAATATTTGATGCACAAAAGTCCTGGTTAGTGACATGAAAAGCTAAGCTGAAAACACCAGAAAACCTTTTTTCAGTGTGTTGGCTGGCTTCCTACTTGGTGGGGTGAAATGCCCAGTGCCCAGGCTGCAAAGGGTGAGAGTGTTGTCTTGGCTCACAGCTTCTGTGGTTAGTCAGTGGTCTGAACAGAAGCAGCGTGGCCCCACAGCAGAAATGGTACAGCAGAGGACATGGCGGAGTGTAGCCCTCAAGCATGGCAGGCAGAAAACAGAGGGAGACAGGCAGGGAGAGGGAGTGAGGGGGGAGGGACGGAGGGAGAGAAAGGGAGGGGAGGGAGGGA